CTTAATTTCTTTTAATAGCATTAAAACAACAGTCTTTTAAAAATTTATCCTTTTAAAAATTTCAGATCATGGTAGCTGATCTAAAGCTTGGCTTTGTGAAAGATGCTCATCATCACATTGATATACAAGGGTTCAATGTTTACCACAAGAACCGGCTTATTAAGGTGACCATAATAATCAACAACTTATTAGTCTCATCTATAGTCATTGCATTGTGTAACATAGTTTATGCTTGTTATCTTAAGCCATTTTGGAGGGTTTGGAACGCTGCTGGAAGTGATGGACGTGGTGTTATTGGTTTAGTGGAAGCTAATTTCATACAACCAGCTCATAATAAACAAGGGTTTGAGAGAACTGTTGTTCTTGCTAAACTTGAAAGCCGATTGCTCCAACTTCAAAAGAACTATTGGTAATATTATTAAATAGATATATATTGACATATCATTGTTAGACCTCTCACATATCTATTTAGACTTAGTTAACTTTTTTTGTTAAACAGGTCTTCAAGGTGTCAAGAGATTGGTTATGCGCCAAGGCGAAAGCAAGCTAATCATTTAAGTGTTTCCAGAGAGACTACTAGACAAGGGGACAAGAAATTTGAAGTACCTTTCAACAACATGAAGCATGATAAGGGATCTTCTTCTAATGCACCACCAGCTCGTTTCATGCAAAATGGCCAATCATCTTGGGGAAACCAACTAAACTCTCAGGTTTAATTTTTGTAACCAATTAGTATTTTCATCATTTGTTCTAAATATTTGATCTTCTGACAAATCGTTGTGCAACATAGGGTGTTACACAATCAAGAGTTGCTGAAAGAATGATACCTGACAGTGGGACTATAAAGATGGAGAAACATGGGCATGGGATAAGGTTTACTATGTCTCCTTTGAATCTAATATATTATTTAAAGTAGAATTTTTTTTATCTATATTGACATGCTCTCTTTTACCATAGATTCAATGAAGCAAGATTGGTTGAGCAAGCAGCCGAGTTGCAGAGACAGACAAGGCAGCTTGAGTTGCAAGTAAAGTTCTTTTTCTTTTTTCTTTTACAAAACTCTATTTCTCTATTGGTGTTTATATTGGTTAATAAACTTTAATGTCTCTTATGGATCATCAAACAGTTAAAGGCTAAGATTCAAGATTTTGAGAAGATGGAAAATCTAAAAGATGACTCAGAAAAACTGGTTTCTAAGCTGTTGAGCCAGCTAAAACAGTCAGAAGCTAAGATTCAAAACATGGAGAAGACGCAGAAGGGAGCAAATGACTCAGACAAACTAGTGGTTGAGTTGTCGAACCAGCTCAAACAGTCAAACGCTAAGATTCAAGACTTGGAGAAGACACAGAAACTGAAAGATGATGAATCAGCAAAAATGGTTGATGAGTTGAAAAGACAGAAAGCACTGCTTGAAGAAGACTTGCAAAAGGTAAAAGATGGATCAAATAAACTGGTGGATGAGCTGCGGAGAGAGAAAGCAATGCTTGAAGAAGAATCACATAAGGTAAAAGATGAATCAACCAAACTGGTAGATGAATTAAAACAGTCAAAAGCTAAGATTCAAGATATGGAGAAGTCACAGACTGAAGTGACTGAGATCTTTCAAGAAGAAAGAGCCCGCAGAGATGGGATTGAGCATGACTTGAGGAAGAAGCTACGGGTTAGTCCTTCGTTACCTAAATATATATAACGTCCTTTTAATTATCTATCTCTATGCATACTTACTTCATTTTGGTATATCATGCTATAGGAAGCTTCTGATGACATCCGTGTGCTAAAATTTCAAGTGAATAGCCTCGAAGCACAAAAAGCCAAACCGTAAGAAGAAGATAGACATGTATATTTATTAGGCATAGCTCTTCTAAAACTCGTTTCTAGGTTTTAAAAACTAGTGTACCACATGTTATATCCTTAAGCACTCATGTACTTTTACATTAGAGTTGCTCTTCGAAAACTCGTTTCTAGGTTTTAAAAACTAGTATACCACATGTTTTACCCTTAAGCACTCATGTACTTACATTAGGGTTTTTCTTTAAATCAAATCCTTATTTTGTGTATTTGAATTATAATTAATTACATATTAATAAGTAAATCAATCACTCATAAAAACACACACCAAACAAACAAAAATAACAGAGGAAACAGAGAATATATGAAGAGAATATGAGGCCTAAGGATTGTTATCACTGGGAGGAAAACTTGGGAGATAAGGTATCCAAGTTGTAGGATCTCTCCAATCAAAAGCTGGTAATGCTGGATTAGGGTTTCCTAAAGGAAGAAAAGGGAAAGGGAAAGACGGAAGTGGAGGCAGAGTAGGCAACGGTGGCAGAGTAGAGTAAGGCCAAGGGAACCAGTACGGTGGCATATAAGGCCAGAAGAGCTTCGAGTCTCTCAACTTCTTCTCCACCTTCTCCTCTGCCTCCTCTCGCTGGTTATGTTTCTTTTCACAGAGTGTGGTGTTTCTGTGAGAAGGTTTGTAGCTTAGTGCGCTTAAGCTGTAGATACAGACACGATCTTGCTTTGACTTGATTGATACTTCGTTGGCTGCTGTCTGAAAAACGGGGATGTTGCAGCCGATGTTGTTGTCTGAGGAGGGTTTGAGTAGCTTGGAGCTGCACTGAGACGATATGGCGATACCGTCGACGCAGTCTATACCGTCGATGTGAGGGATCTCGAGCTTGTAAACGCCGTTTATGTTTGTTGTTCTGTTTACTGATATGTTCACTTCTTCTGTTGTTTTTGGTGAACTCGCTTTGAATCTACAGCTCACATGAACTTCGACTCCTGAGACAAAGAGACAGAGACTTATTTTAACTGTACCAAAGACTATAGATTGATCAAGCCTAAGTTAGCAGATAAGTTCATGTAATGTTTAAATCAAGATCTCTGACCTTGTAAGAAATAGCTCTGTCTTGAGAAAGTGTTGATTGAACAAGTGTCACAGTAGACAACTCCAACGACTGTGATGCTAGAAGAAGGGTCTGAGCTTCCTCCGGGTGGTGACCTGGCACGACCATGACCACGGCCAAAAGCTTGATGTGTTAAGCTAGAAGATAGAAGGAGAAGAAAGAGAAGAGGAAGATACATTGTGGCTAATATCTTTCACTGTCTCCCCCTATTGTCTTTCTTGATGATAATGTATGCAAGTGTGTGTGTGTGTGTGATTGCAATATATTCAGTCCGTGATCTATACTTTTTGATACCAACCACTGTTTAACTAAAACTCTTGTTTCTTTCCACTATCAAACAAAGACATGTGAAGAGGCTCTTTTTGGCTCATTGTGGTGTTTACAATGTGAAAGCACTCATGAAGATGAGATTTATTTTGTGTCCTTTACCTAAAAAACTCCTATAGTTTGTAATTCTTTTTACTTATACAGATCTAAACCAAAAGATTAAGATGCAAAACCCCCCAATTATTTCTTTTACATGTGGTTTGTTTTCTGTACTTTTTAAATTACAGCCATCTATCAATAATACAGCCTTGTCTTCTTTGATAAAAAGGGTGTATTGCTTTCTTGTGATCCAAGTCTTTAAATCATGCATTAGGTTACTGATAAAGCCAGGTTTGTATGCATATGTTGCCTCTATAATTGTCTGAAGCTGTTATTCATTCAAAAAAAAAAAAAAAAATTGTCTGAAGCTTGTGGGTTGTTGGCTTCAGTAAAACCAAGTTTGTTTAACATCACTAAAAATTGCTATATATAATTGCTATGAAGAAACCTCTTAACACATCTTTCATAATAGCATTACCACAAGATCAACTTAACACGAATCAAAATTATCATTTTAACACACACAAATATTCAAATACATTTTGAAGATAGTTTAGCATCTAATCTGAACCTGTAACTCAAGTTAAATAACTCACAAATATCTTAAGAATGTACTCTTTTTATTGAGTTCTAAACAAGTTTCGGTTACAACCTGCTAGGACAGGAAGTTAAAACATATAGAAAAAACCCAAACTTTTAAAAGAAACAAAAAAAGCAAAAAAGTTTTCATGGTAGTCTCAGATCGAGAATGGTTCTTTCTATAAACATGAACTTAAGGAAAAAATAGTCATAGAAGTGTTGAAGCAGCAGAAGCAACCATATCATTTGCCATACACTCATATATTTTCAAGTCCTCTTCCTTGACATAGGAGCTGGATTCCCACCAAACAAATCATCAATAACAGACTCAATATCTTCAGGCTGATACTTAACATACTTATCCGTATGCCTCCCCGAATCAATATGCTGCTTATACCTCCCAAAGAAAGACCTATAAGCCGGAATCACCAACGCCGCGATCGAAACCCTTAACTCCGATTGCATCTGCTCATCACTCACAATCCACGTACTCTGCGTCTTATGTATCTCATCGAACATATTATTAAAAATCTTAAACCTCTCTTTCAAAACCGTCTTCGAGACTTTCCCGTTAACCTTTAAACCTTCTTGATTCATACATTGCAACACTTTACCCCAAGTCTCTCTCTGGTAACTCTTATGGTACTGTCTAAGCTCCGTTGATCTTTTCCTCGTCCACGCTTGTCCCATCAAGTCTCTTATCTCCGTTGACCCCTTGATCTTTTGAAGAATGTATCTCCCGTTGTTCATTAAGAAGATGGATCGTAGCGATGGGTCTCTGTATAAAGCCGATTTAATCTCTAGATTTGCGTCGAGTAGCTCCATCACTCTTATCATTTGTCTAGCGAAGGCTGACGTTTTGTACTCCTCGTCGTGGTCTTCTAGTTTCGTCTCTGGTTCGGTTTCTGTTTGGTCTGATTCTTCAGGCTTCTCGTAATGTCGAAACACTTGATCCAAAGTGTCTTTATACTCGCACGCGTATTTGAGGTAGTTCATAGTGTAACGAGTTAACGGATGAACCGCTCCGCTTGGAACAGGTGTTCTTCCGATATCGGTCTTTATCGAGTTCTCTAACTCTCCGAATATACTCACTGCCGCTTCTCCCAGCCTCGTCTGAGCAAGCTTAATCTCTTTGATCAGATCTGAATCCGTTTCTTCAACGGCAGGTATCAGTTCCCGTAAGGTTTCGTACATGTCAAGGAACTTAAAAAGTTTCTCCGAGGAACGTTTCGTGAGAACCACGGCACCTGAAAAATCCAGAAACCGCATCGTTACAGCCGAGACAAGGCCCGTGAAGAGGCGTCTACGGAGTGAATCTTGCTCCGGGAACACGGAGTTGCAGAGAGAAAGCTCTCCGGGGAAAAGCACGGAGGAGCAACGGCGAACTATAGAGATCCATGTCGCGATCTCTCCTTGCAGAGACTCCCAGGGGAGTCTCTGCACGTCTTCCACGTTGATCCCTTCGAATCCAATCTCTTTAAGCTCCTCCTTGAACGCGTGGCGTCTCGACGTCTCGTAAGACATGCAACACTCCATTTCGTAACCGGCGGAGATGATCGCTCCGGCGATTTTTGTCAACGTGGAGATAAATTCCGGTGGAAAATCAGGGAACGTTTCTTGATCTTGTGAAGCGTCTTGATCAGATTCATCGTGATTGTTGTCTCCGTCGCGGGAACGGTCTAGGAGATGACGAAACTCTTCGTCGAGGAGAGACACGGCACGGTGTTGAACCGAAGTAGCCCGGTTTAGCCACGAAGAAACCGGGGTTGAATCTAGGTTGAGCTCTCTTAGCGTCGTGACCGATTTTGAAATGCGGTTAACGGCGTCGATGAACGCGGAATCCTCTGTTTCGTCACGTCCGATTCCGGAGGATTCCATTTTTGATACTAAGGAATCGACGGTCTCTGGGAAGGGCTCAACCGATGGAGGAATCTCTTGTAATGGATCGGTGGAGGAGGAGAGGGATTTGATGAAATCGTCGACGGCTTCCATCACCTGGGTAAGGCTGAGCTCGGAAGATTCCGATTCAGGTGTTGCCGTATCCGTAGGGGATTGATGTTTTGATTCATTGAGAGGATTTGTGTTTTCGTGATCGTTGGATTTGTGAGGAAGAGTTTCGGATTCGGTTGCGTGATCTCCAGGTTTCTCCATTTCGCCGGGAAAAAATTTAAACCCTATCTAACGGATTTTTTCTGTTTTTCTGTTATTTTTTTGTCTTTTTGGGGAAAATTAAGAGGGGTGGAAAATGGGAAGAGTGTGAGGATTAGCCTTTGTTAATCCATTATTAGAGTTTTTTATTCTCTGTTTGATGATGATACTAATTATGATTTTTCATCTGTGTTTTAATTTTAGGGAGCTTCTTCTTTTTTGGGTATATATAGTTTTCCTTTATTTATGAGGTTCTTAGGTGGGTATCTGTTGACCTTGAGGTGGAAAGGTTATGCGTCTCACGATCTCTGTGTTTATTATTCATGTTTGTATCAAACTCAGCCTGATTAAGCTTAAACATATGATGATTTAATGTTGGCAGATTAGTGTACATTTGTGTCTTGTCTTCACTGATTATAACATAGTGTTATTCAGGGCCAGGCCTTACTCCTGAAAAGCCTAAAACTTGAAAATGGGGTCCTTGTTCTGCAATTTAGCCAATGTTTTTGAAACTTACAACCTCACCCATTGCCATGAATTATGGACAAATCGTGTGACAGCATGTTTTTGATATCGCAGCTAAAACTAGTTTATGGCCCATGATTATAACTTATCTGACAAAAGTATGTTTTCCCAAAGTGGACCCAAACCCTTATTATGAGGCTTAAAAGCCCATACTTATATCATCGATATACTAAACTTTCGTATTGCTAAAGATAACAAAACGACTCCTTGTCCATAACTAGTTGGTTCTTATTAAATGGTTAGAAACTTTTGCAATTTGGCCATTTGACCACTTTTTTTGACTCACAGATCAACCAAACATCAATTCAATCATGGACGAATCGTGTGACAGCAAGTTTTATATCGCAGCTAAAAAGTAACCCAAAAACGATTAAGTTAAAAAGTTGTTATCCTCCTTTTTATCACTTTCGAATAAAAAGAAACAATTCTGAGAGTGAAAGCAATATTTCATTGACCCAAAACAAATCATTAAAACTAATTATGTTGTGAAATAAAGAAGAAGGTTTGTTGTAACTCTGTATATCTTATTCATCACGTGCACATACATATATATACATACAAGAGAATAAGCATATTCCTTAGGAGATAAGGATTACAACAATAAAGGGGATGATTATCCTAATCCTATAATGATTAGGATAACTACAACATATGGATAAATACAAGGGAGGATAATGACA